GAAGCTTTAAAACCTGGAAATACTCCTAAAGTTAGATCTTTTCTTCAAGAAATTTCTAAAGATTTACCCCATTCTGACACGTCATCTGAAATAGAAGAAATACCTTCCTTGACTGTATAGGGATTTCTTCTTTTATACATAAATATAGATCAAGCTGAAGAATTACTTGCTTACTCGGAAAGAAATGTGGTTCGTGCAAAAAAAGAAGTCATCTTGTCTTATTATTAGTTCGGAAAAGCAGATGCAAAAAAACTTAAAGAGTTACTAAAGATACCGATCGCCCTATGCACAGCACAGAATAAGATAGTTGCTGAAATTAAAAAATTACTCCTCAGTGGTACTTCTATTAATGTTATAAAGAGAAGAATTGCTACAGCTCTAAAGATTTATGATATCTTTAGCACAATTGGTGAGGATAAGATCCAATGAATCAGAAATTTCAGTGCATCAAGTATTGGGGCTTTCAAAAAAAATGAATTGAGTTTATTAAAACTGGAGATAACAAATCTAAATTTAGAATAGAAAGAGAAAGTTCAAATATATGGACAGACTTCGATGTATTGCAGAGCAATGACCCAAAGGGTTTTAATTCTGGTACAAATTCTTTAGAGTCGAATTATACAATTGATGTATCATATATAGATGATACAGAGATGATATTAGACAAATAATGATTTTTATATCATATGACATCATGCAGTTTTGGCTCAACATCATATGATTAAGTGAATTATTGCGAAGCAATAATGGCACAAAGTGCCAAATCTCCCTTCAGGTCTAAATTTGCTAATCTAATACTATAAAAGGTTATAACTCTTTGAGCCTAGCCTAAATGCGCATAATGTATGTATGCATCAAGGCCTTATTTTTTTAATGATTTTAATAATAACTTTACTCAACAATTACATGATCAGTTAAAAAAAATGGCGAGCCCAAAGGACCTCTCTTTATTTAATAAAACATTGTTGCTGAATATTATACAAATAAAATATATATATATTTATTATATAATAAAAAATGCTCTTAACAGATTAGGTTGGTGGGGTTTACATTTGATCTAACATTTCTCTTCGTTGACCAGGGTTTAACCAATCATTATCATCATTTTTCTCATCACACTCTAAGTTTTCTTTCGACATATTCTCCCAGGTCTCATTATTTAATTTTTAGTAAAATAAAAAACTTAATTCTGATAATTAGATTTTAACACAAATGTACTGGCATGGCACGAAGTTTACTTACAAGATAAAAATTCTCTTGGCTTGTATTGTCGCTTTGATTTTGAATAGTTGGGAGTGGTGCTATCATTAGTCTTAGAGGTGGTGCTATTGTTAGTCTTGGGGGTGGTAGCATCGTTAGTCTTGGAGGTAGTAGCATCATTAGTCTTGGGGGTGGTGCTATCTTTAGTACTCATTTCACAGTTTTAATTAAAAAATATAGTAAGTAAAATTCATTTTCATAGTTACTATTAAACAAAATAACATTACTTTAAAAATAAATTATGATCGGATAAAAAAATTATATATAAGCAAAATAACCCACCTACAAGAAGCAATAAAATCACTTATTTTTATACCATTTGTTAGATCTAAAAAACTTGCTAGTTACATGATTAATAATTTGCATTACTCTAATACTAACAGATTACACTTAACAAAGCAACTCCATTTCAGTTATAAAGCCCAAATACTAAATATATTTTAGCATCCTTTTAGGGACATAGACCTCTTAGATTTGACTCCTGCTACTACCAAGTGAAAAAGTCAACGATCTCGGTGATCTGAGAATTCCAAGTTCCTGTGACATATGAATTTTGATAAAACTACTGATTAAGAATGTCATAAGCTTTCCTCTTATAGCCCTTCTAGGTTCTATTTGAGCTTATTCTTATCACTAGATTGTATATAACAAGGAAACGGTTCTAGTCATGACTAGCGTTAATAAAAAATTGACTGTGAGAAATAATTCTGCAGAAAAGTAACACAAAACCTTAATGTACCCAATTTTGTATAACATACACAATATGAACTTTATTTATTGCTTAATATTAATTTATCTTTTAAATTTATACATGGTTATGATAAAATAATGCATATATTTGTTTCTCGAATATCCAAATTCAAAAATCTGATTTTTTTTTTTTTTTTTAGCCATGTATAGATTATTTTTTCTGTTAATATATACAATAATAAAAAATCTGAATAGCATAATCATATGTAAAAATAAACAAAATTGCTTTAAAAAGTGGCACATCTTTAGAGGTTGAAAGCATAGATGTAAGGTCTGTGATAAATACAATCACCATTCATATCTGTATTGTAAAACATGCAAAAAAGTAGCAGATGGATTATATAGGTAATGTGAATGTGATAATTCTTTAGCTTCAAAGAAGCATCTCTCTAAGGCAAGAATAATTTAATAAAAATAAAAAAATCTCACAGTTTTCCAGTAGTTATCCTGTAGTTATTCTATAGTTAATATATATCTATTATACTAAATATAAAAAAAATCACATAGTTGTCCTGTAGTTATCCCATAGTTACCTAATTACCAGATTACAGGATGCTACTGGAAAATTTCACAAAGTGTATGCAGTAAAAATGTGAATTTCTGTACTTACTCTGCCAAAAATTTCGCTACCTTGAGGTCATATTCTTATAAAAAAATATTAATATATAAAGTCAGTAACTGTTATCAAAATGGTTGAGTGGTTTTTATATTTTTTTGAAAGATTATAATTTCTCACGAAGTGAGGATGCTTTTTATATTTTTTTGAAAGATTAAAATATTTCATGAAAATATATTTTATAAAATTATATAGATTTTCATGAAAATTATTCAAGTCTTCTTACTCAACTATCACCTTCATTAATAAAAGCTGGATGGAATCAGCTTACAACTCGAAAAAAAAATCCATTATCAGAAAGAGAAGCCAGTAGTATTAGCTCTATTATAGAGGCATTTTTAAAGCATGAAGTTGATAGATACCAAAGAAATAAAAAATCTCAATATAATCCTACAATAGAAGTAAAGACAGTGCCTCATTGTATAGCAATACCAGTTTAAAACTTGAAAAGTTAAAATTCGAAGAAGCAACAAAGTCTCGAATCTCTGATTCTTCCCCTAATAGCTTGCTTCATAGACCTGAAGAGTTATACTCTGAAGAAGAGATTAATGCTAGAATCAAAGAAGCTACAGATAATTTACATCAAGAATTTATTAAATCTACTGAAGAAACCTTAAAAACTATTAAGCAACAGAAAGATATAGAATGCAATCAAATTAAGATAGATATGGCTAATTGGAGTACAAAATTATTTGAACTTTCATTAAAAAAATATATTCAAGATGGTACTATATATAATTTTATTCATGCATTAGAAGAAAAAGATTGTAAATCATATTCTAATATATCTTGGAAAAAGTGATTCATACATTTTTCCCATATAGAAGTATTTTGAACTTGAAATATATTAATTATTTTTTTTTTATTGCAGAGCATTGACTTTTCGAGTCTAGACCCAGGTCATGATTTAGAGAAAAGGTAAAGTCTTGAGAAAGCTGAGCTTCGAGTCTTTGACTCATCTCTGATTTATTATCTAATAACTTGTTTTGCAAGAAATCATCCTTACTAGATAGACTAAAATCTGGGCTAAAACCTGTAGGAGCATGCCATTCCTCTAATAATACATTGTTATCCTTACTAGATGGACTAGAAGAATCAGTAGATACTTGGACCAAATCTTGCTTGTAAAAAGTCAAGTTAATTTCCAGTTTAAATATCTCTCTCTGGGACTTATATACTGAAAGAGGTATAGTAATTACTTTACCTTTATGTATTAACTTGAATTCATGCTTAACAATAGGCTCCCATCCAGCATGATCAAGCAAAGGAGTGCCTAATAATATCCAAGGTTTATCATCATCCATTACTGGAAAGTCTTCTGTAATTGTACAACTATTATCTCCATAGCCAAAAGTAATTGGTACATTATAACAAGTTCCAATAGATTCTAAAGAATTATTACGCTATTTTACAGAAGGTTTTTTATTTTTGTCAATATTCATTCCTAATAGTTTTGCAACACCTTTTAATTTTAGAGAGCAGTTTGCTCCACTATCTATTAATGCACCAGGTACTTGAATATTTTTTCCTGATAGTGAAGTAATTTGGCAAGTAATAGTTGCAACATCATTAGAAATAATTTTATGAATAAAATTAATTTCTATAGGATTTGGCCATAAAATTTCTGCTTCTGGTTGTATCTCTTCTGAGGCTGTTTTGGGTAGTATATTTGTTTGCTGAGAAGCAATTTGAATTAGATCTGATATTGGTTGCAAAATGTGAGAGAATATCATAGTAATCTTATGCCAAAACTTTTCTCGTTCCTTGTCAGAGAAATTCGAAGTAAAATGATTTAAAACAGGATCTTTCAATATAATAAATTTGATATTAATCATATTATAACTATTAATTGAGACTTCTTTAGGTTGTGTATGAGTAAATGAATTAACCATTAATCATAAAATAGCAAAAAATGCATTTAGGCTAATATTATCTGTAGGAATTTTAAGTGACCTAGTATTGCGAAGCAATGACCTTTCAGGTCTAACTTTACTATCCTTTTTATTAGAAGCATTACTAGATTTTTTGGTAGAAGTTTTTGACCTGGCACTTTTATGCTTCTTTGATCTCTTGCTATCAAAAAAAGTTATTTTTTTTTTATGGCATTGATTTCGTATTCTTCTGAATCATTTTCTGAATTACTAGACTCACTGGTTCTAGAGAAATTTGATTCTGATTCATTCCATGAACGTGCCAAGGTATTGGTTTCAAGTTCATTTTCACTAGATATTGTACTATTTTCACTATTGCTAGAGTCTGAAGATGATTCATCTGAAATTATATGAGCATTAACATGTTTTGATTGACTCAATTTTTTGGTTCTAGATTTAGTTTTGACCTTGCAATTAGAAGATTTAGGCTTGCTAGAATTCTTTTTCATAGCTTTTTTTATTTTAGTTAGATTGATTTGAAGGTTTTCTAATTGTTTACACATATCTTCTACAGGATCATTATCTGTAACTTCAAGACTCTGTGGGTTATTGCTTCACAATGCTTTCTTTATTGTTGGTTTTGGAGGTAAATCAGGCTTGGAAACAGGAACAAATTCTGGAATCTTCCCAGTAAGCCATTGTATTAATCTAGTCATGTTTGTATCTTGTATAATTTGAGAGGTTCCTGGTGGTTGTAGCCTATAGTATGATTAAGATGGTTGTGAAGAAATCAGTTAAGATGGCACAAAGTGCTGAGTTTTTATTTCTTGGATAGATGCATCATAGATTTTATCAAGTTTTCAATCTCAGTTTTGGTCATACTCAGACCTGAAGAGTTATTGTCTTTTTTATAAGATTTATCTGTGCCTGAATATAAATATGCTCCAGATAATTGCTCTG